CTTGAGGAATTTGGCCAGCATTTACATCTTTGTGCGAATTGCTTAGAATCCGCTGATCGGTGTCCATTGCGTAATTGGAAGGGAGAATGCTTAAGGCGAACCAATCATCTCAACAATAATTTATTTTTATATGCGTCTGGGAACTCATGGCCGTGATTTTTTTGGATAAGAATATCAATCAATCAAGAACTGATCCCGTCGAAATGCGAACACAGATTAAAAAGCTGACCTATGTACATTTCAAGAACGAGATTTTTTGTCAGAGTCAAGTGACGACTGTTTACATTGAGACTGACAACGTCGAATTCTTGAATGCATTCAAGTACTGTTGGTTGCCAGCCATCGGTTGTTGGTGAAATGCTTTTGTAGTTTGTTGATATAAAAACGTGATGTAGAAATGCGAAACCGCTCGATTCGAGGTCCCTGCTGACTCCAGTATAATGTCAACATGTTATCATTTCAACAGTTATCATTTCATTAACAAATTATCATTAGGCAGTGTTTTTGTTGTTGTTTGTAATGATACTGATATGTTATTATCGTCTACCACCACTGACATTCGCATGAGTACGTTACCTGCATCACGGCCAAAGTTTTAGCTAGATCAATGTGAGTAATTAAAACAAGTTTGAAAGATAAGGTTTTGGTGTGCCGAAGTCGTAGAGCGAATGTCCTGTAGCTGATCAAAGCGCAATACCTCCCATTGGTACTATTATTACTCGTAAATGAACAGCAATTGGTAAATGAGCAACAACTTATTCATGGCAATTCTAATTATTATACATTCAGGTGATGATACTTTGACAGAATTGTAATAGTTACATTGTCAATGATACAATTACAAAAACAATAACAAATTGTTCTAGTTTTCCCAAAAAATATGTATATCAGTCATAAATTCAGTGATATTAATGTGCTCGATAAATTTGTTTTCGTAATTCGTCAGCAAAATCAGCATTCAATCGCATGCGTTGAAAAACGAATAATCGATCTTTTGAAGGTATTGCTGTCGTTTAAATATGTCAAGCTCAGGAACTACCAATCTTAACAACACAAAAATATCGCATCACAACATGTCGTCAATAATTGAACTGGTCGTACAGAACTGTCCTAAAATAACTGACACCATGTTTGTTGCCATCTCACATTGGATTGACTGAGCGTTTCACGACGTGGAGTATGATGCAAATGGATGATCACACCATGGCAAATAAGCCGTCTGAGCACAAATTCCACCGATTCAAGGTTGTTTTTGAATGAAATTATACAGTCACATTTACTCCTCTTTCGGATATTTTTTAACACAAGTATTCAAGTAGAATACCAACGATAAGCGCAGTACTGAATGCTGTTAATCTGCTGTACTTGGAGCAGATGACGTAAGTAGACCGAGGAACAATTCAAAATGAACATAATTATAGTTGAATAACACAATGAACTTCAAGTAATTATTGAACAGTTGATTACATCTATGTATCGGAATTTTGTGTCCGCAGTGAAGAAACCAATCAAATAAATAATTGTAGGTCCTTCATTCGTGAAGTGGAAGACAGCTAATAAAGATCGTCATACAATTTGTTGTTGCCTCTAAAGAGCAATTAAATTTGTGTTGATTTAATTAGTCCGTCCAACTCAATCGTATAAACAATGGTCAAATCAGTCACGCGAAATTCATTTATTTACTTATGGAATGATTTAAGTCAGTAATGATACTGTAGCGCTTCATAATGTGAAAGCACCTTGTGGTTGATAATTCATTCTTCAGTTATTCGAATGTTGAGTCGCATTATGACATTCATCCTTGTTTCACTTCTCACTTTTTACATTCATTTGCACAATTTTTTCTGCACATGAAGGTGGCAAAAATTACACGCATTTCAATTTTGTATAGTTGTTTTTTGTCGTGCCCGTAAAACTGATCGCGAATGATGATTCGATTACTGTTCTGTATGTTGCATCTCCTGTCAACGTCATTTAAAGTCATTCCTCGCCGTCACTTTATGCGTCGAATTATTTAACATTTCTTTGAAATTTCTTTAAAATTTTTGTTCAATATTCCAAAATTTTTAGAAATAACCTTCAAGAGCTTTTGAGAAAAAATTATAAAAAATTCCGAGAATGTCTGTTCTTCTTTTTTTCATAATATTTGGTGTCGCTGCTAGCGCGAAAAGCCTGCATAGAAAGTGTTGATATGAATCGAATAAAATGATGAAATGAATTGGGAGAATAGAGTATAATAATTGATCAGCACAATAAAGACTGCTTCAGTCACAAAAAAACACATTTTATTTTTATCAGACGAACTTCAATTTTTATCAGAGCCATTCCATAGTTTCCTAGTGACATGCTATCTGACACCTGCAGGACTAACGACTCGTCTATGCAAGGACAAATTATCAACATTTGCGAAGTTTAAATTTTTGCAAGAAACCGTTTTCGACTCTACATTTAATTTAACCTTGGCAGGAACTTGTTCACTGATGGAAAGTGTAAGGTTGACAATAAGCAGAACTATGAAGTAAACATAAATACGGAGTGATATTCGCCGCTCTAATCGAACAACCATTCTGATATCGATGGATGATGCATTACTGAGTAAGAAATGATGACTGATGGTCGACGTCTGCTTTCTCGTCAGGAAGGAGCATCAATAAGAAGAAGTGAAGCATGTGCCCTGTTCATGAACCGAGTGAACTAACTCAAGACGTTTACATTGCTGCAATAACTCTTAAGAGGGTATCTCTGATTGTTTAGAACATCCAACAGCTGATCAGAACTGACGGCGAGAGGCTGCACACGTGAATATTGAAGATGGTGCGGCAATTAATCTAATGGCGATGATTTTTTAGCAACAATGAAATTATGTGAATGCATAGCCAAATCACTGGTCCGCAACGATTAATTCAAACAAATATGGGTAAACAGCTTGTAATGTTTTGATGAAAGGAGTAGTGCTTGCACGACATCTCGGTAATACCGAATACCGGTATTAGAAAAGCGATACCGATCAGAGGGATTCGTGGTGTCGATATTCACGGTATTTCTGGTATTCATAGCACAAGTCATTTGGTAGTATATCTGTGAGTCGTACCCGTTGGAGCATGAATCATGAATTGTAACTTTGTGACACTGTTTTTCATGTGTCCATCAATTTTGCGTTGTTCGGTCATTCATGCGTGTATTTCTTGTCATCACATCACGTGCTTCTTTCTGTTGTTTCGACGATTCTCAACTTTCTGACAGTGTGTTCCAAGGATCAGTAAATTTTTTTAAAAGTATTCTTTCTTCTAAATTTCTTCAACATCGTTTATTAAGTATCGAGTGAAGGGAACCATAGTGCGACCATTTTCATAATATTTTTTTGTTTTTTTTGTTGAATTTTCGGTTGTATTTTGTTCTGAATTTCTTGAGCTTTGATCAGTGATTTGATGAATAAGTTGCTTTCTGAATATCTATGAACACATTGGCTCAAAAGAATATGTTGAACAAGTCACATTTCTATATTTCAAAAGTTGCTTTTCAATATCAGTACCGTATCTGTATTGATAAACGATACCGGTATTGAGAACATGGTCCAAACGCTTGATGGGGATGTAGTGTTTTCAGTGAATCGACCGCGATCACGCAAACTTCCGCATAATGAAGAAAGTACGCTAGGAATGTGCACTGTAAACTAAAAGCGGTCAACTAAAGTACTACCATTTTTTAATTAAATTAGGCATCATTTTCTCTCTTAATAAACTGCCCATCATTTGTCATCAGTGTCGTTAATAATCTCGATGTTTTCATCACACCTCCTCTGGTGTTGCTGAATAAACTTGATGAATAACTACCGAAACGCCCTCCTCTCTAAGTTCATTTATGGTCTTCATTTGGTTCATTTTGATCAAGACTAACACCAACTCTCAATTAGATCGCCCGCATGAATCGCTCTAAAACCAACTTTTCAATGACAAGTTTCGTTCCTCACTGAATGTTCCTCCTTCTAATTTTTACTGCTCCGTTTCACAAAGTGCTTTAGATTTACTCGCTACTGCTTTGAGCTCATCTGTTACACATGACTCGAATTATGCCATTGCATCTGTTCGAATGAATCTTTTGTATTTATTTCTTACATGTGGCATTTAATCCGTCTTTCTGCATATTCGCTTCAAAAATAACATTTTACTAATTTTTGCTCTCGAATGTGTACTTCTTTATTAGCCAACTGTGTCTTGGATATGTTGAATTGATAGACATGATGATTCAGTCGTGAGAGGGAACATTTCAAACCTTATTCTCTGGAATCTTGAGAATAGGGATGGAAATAGGATGAGATAAAGGTCAACCATAAGTTAATTTTTCTCATTTTACACTGTCCAGAACTAACCCAACCTTTGCATAGACCTTAAGGAGAGAGTCCAGAACTCAACTCGAGACGTTGAACACTGATTTCGTTGAATGTCGTTTGATCGTATCGCGATGATGTTTTCTTCATTCTGTTAAAGCGATTATTGCAGACGTTCCTGTGCATCCTGACGCCCTGCAAATTTTGCGCCATTTTTTAACATGTGTTTAGAAAAAATACGAGAGTTGATCATCGCAAAGCCCTTGTGCTACATATTCCAATGGAATGCCGCACTGCTAACCAGATATCCCATCAGCGTGATTGCGGTTAGTTGTTTATTCCAGTGAATGCTGATGGCTTGTTCCGGTGTTCATATGAGATTCTTTTCTTGCGGTTTTACCGATGATTTCGAGACGTTGTTTGATTAGATCTAGTCTGGAAGTGCATGAAAATGAACAATCGAAAATATATCATTGGAAGTTTCATCGCACTAATGGGGTTTTGACGGCATTAGTGGCAAAAGTGCTCTCGTTGATGAGTGTTAATAGGTGTGCACTGATTAACATTCACCGAGAAAGGGTGTTTTTTAATTGAACAAAAGGCGACTGACGATCACTTATCGGTCAACAACTCTGTGTTGAAGAATAAAGTGCATCAATGTTGTACCCTTCAGGTGGTTACTGTATTCACTTTACTATGCGCAGTGAAACTGCCGTTTGCTGATATTCAAGACGATTTCAATATTGGATATACGCCCGATGATGCACGTGCTCTGCGAGAGCTGAAAGTGTACAAGAATTTCACGAATGGTGATCCAGTGATGTTTTTTGTGCTCATTATGGCGAGCGATGGTGGAAGCATGTCTAGGATGGCGCATCTGAACAAGACCGTTGAAATTATCGATGAAATCGGCACACAGATCAGAATCAAAAATCAAACCTTCTATGATATTTGTACCAGTTTTTGTAACGCTAATGAACCCGTCGTACAGTTCAGGGTAAGATTAATTCAATAACCTCTTTCACTTAGACAGAGCCTTTAAAAATAGTGTGCTGTGAAACCGAGAACTCATCCTATCTGAAGTTTTTATCCGCAGCACAACTTTAACTTGCAGCTTGTGAAGAGCATTAACCCTCACTCATTTCAACATACAATACCGTCTGTTCATGTGAGCCACCCACTCTGAACAATCTAGTAATAAAATGTTTGTCACATATCTGAAAGAGCAAAGCGGAATAACGTAAAGGACCTCCTGAAGTGTACCTTAAGAGTTGAAATGCACTTACGATCTCGCGAGAGTCTCACGAATACTCAATCGCATTGAATCGATTAGATGTTCGATTCAAGATAAGGTGCGTGCGGTAGTCAACTGATGACACGATGAAAACAAACAGAAACCTGTTCCAGTGGCGATTATCAATTGCCCTGAGCTCTGTTTTTGTTGTTGATCAAATACTTTCTGATAAGTTTATAGCCATTTCAATTCATTCGCAATGTTCAGTGAGCAATTATTTTCTGCTGAGCAAAAAGAACAAACAAATGAGAGCTAATTTTGACTTTTATTTGATTCATTTTGATATTTTTACGTTCGATTGAGGCGGTAATATAGAATGGCTGAATAAATTGATATTGCAGAATGGATTACTGCTTAAAACACGAGCGAATGGAGCAACAAACGGGACATTATTTGAGGATGCAAGCATACGGTATCCAATAATGACATTCTTTGGTCATGAATTCGACTTGAGTCCAAATTTCCATGGTGTCGAAACATATCCCGAAGGAGAGGAACCGAATCATGGCGCGACGAACGTTAAGGATCTCAAAATGATTGCACTCTTGATACGTGCACAAAAACCAGACAGCTGGACCGAGCAAGACGTCATCAATTATGACATCGCTTTAAGGAAACGTTACAACGAGTATGTTCTCAATTTTTAATCGAGCAAATCAAAATATCGACGCAAGATCTTGATTTTGAAGAGATACACAATCCAATTCCATACTGAAGAAATGTATTTGATTTTAGGGCGACCGAAAAATCAGTAGTAGTAGCCAACATCTACTCATGGTGGTATTTGCAAGCCGAAATCACGCGAACGTCAACAGTTGTCTTTCCGTATCTAGCGTTCGGCATCACTTCAGTTTTTATCTTCTCGCTGTTAAGTGTCGCATACGGCGCGTGGCATGTAGGACAGGTAATTCACTCGTAAATGCTGTCAACTGTCAACTGAAATATTCATTAGAATGTCGAATGCAGCTCAAAAGAAGATGTGAAGCTGCTGACAGCCTGGCTAGACCTAATCAAAGTGGTTGCATAAGCCCTTTCTGTTCCACACTGCTGTCCTCTTTATTCTCGTCCTCTTCTCGTTTGATACATATATCTTCAGATGTCGCCATATAAACTCGTATTCGCAGTCACCGCTTGTATAACTCCAATGATGGCAACAGCGGTTTGCCTGGGACTACTGCTGTGGTTTGGTGTGCGTTTCGGTTCCATTCTGCTGATAGCACCATTTCTTCAGCTTGCAATCGGTATCGTTCAATTCGAGGTCATTGATGGGTAAATTAAGGCATGACGCATTCAACTGCACACCATTAACTCGAAATTGTTAGCCATCATCAGAAATAAAAAATGCTCTGCTGATTTGAAATGCTCCTAGGTTTGGTTTGACAAGCTAAACAATTGTAGTTGCTTGCTCTGTTCTAGTCACTATTTCAATGCAGGTGTGGACGATGCATATATCATGATCAATGCTTGGGAACGCGTCTGCTTAGATCGAAAACGAAATGCAGTAGATAACGACACGTTGCGATCGCGTATAACTGAGGTTTGTGCGCTTAGATTGTGTGCTGAAACGTTGAATTGAATTTTGAGTGGTCACTTTTGAAATATTCGTGATTTTGTGATGGTGATCAAGGTTCTGCTTCGTTGTGCTACTCCACAGAAGGGCAAATTAGCAACGAGATAATTGGAGAGGAGAAAAGATAATTGTCAGTTTCGATTGCAGGTAATGGTTGAGGCAGGTCCATCCATAACGGTAACATCACTGACAAATATGCTCGCCTTCGGAGTGGGAGCAGTCTCGTCAACACCCGATATCCGGCTATTCTGCACTGCAAACGTCTTGTCAATGTTTTTGACTCTCGTATTCACCGTCACATTTTTTATGGCTGCTTTAGTGATTGGTGCTAAATATGAAATGCGATCGCAACAAAATCAAACAAAGCCTTGCAAGACAAATACAAATGTAATCGAGTTTTTTTTCGTTCGTGTTTGCGCAACTCCAAACTAATTGCACTTCCATTGTCTTCTCTCATTAACGTCTATTCGTAACAATCTCTCGTATTTTTTATATACTGTTAGCATCTTGAATTTTTTAGCTGTTTATTTAAAACGAATCCAAACTAATGAAGAAGAACGTATTTATCGATACTTCTTATAAAAATCCTTTCTCAAGCATGCTACTTATCCATTTTTCAGACCTCAGAAATATTAAACGAATATTGCAAATGGCTATCCAATGGTAAAGCGTCAGTGCTCATTTTGTTGATGATGTGTGTCTATTGGGGAATATCAATTTATGGCCTGACTACTTTATCACCGACAGTACGTCCCATGAAACTGCTCATTGATGGATCACCAATTGAAAAGGTTAACTCTCAAAACATTCTTCACACTTACAGTGCAAACGTTCACAATCATTTTATCGGTTTTGAACTGATTTTGTAAAGAATCGTCCATAAGAGAATCAATCCATTAAAATCAAAGAATTTCCATCGAGTGTTTGTGTCGATGCGGAAAGGTCAGCAATGAGGAATTCCGTTCAGATTTGGGTGCATCATTATTTTTTGTAAGGTCACTGAAAATACTCGACAGCATCAGATTGCTGTGATCTTTGGAGGTCGTTGTAGGCTGTAGAAGCTACCTTTCCAAACAACAGTTTTGTTTTTCAGCTGTTACAATTACGATATGACTACATTCTGAAGGGATACACATTCGTGACGATTATAGTTGACGACGCTGGAAACCTGACAGATCCGAGTCGTCGGGAACGCATCTATTCGATGGTGGAACAGTTCGAGCAGCTACCTGAATGTAACGGTGCACGATTCAGTCATTTTTGGATGAGGGATTATGACAATTTCATGTCGAACACTGGCGATGTCGAAATTGAAGAAGAAATACCCGAAGGCGATACAGATCTGATCGCGGAGCAAGCACCGTACACTACGACGTCAATAAGGAATTTTTTGAAGTGGCCGGAATATCAGTTCTGGGCTGCATTCATGAAATTCGACAATACAACGGATAGGTTTGCGAATTGACTGAATCTTGCGATTAATCTCTGCATATTTCGCTTCATTGCGTTCATCTATATATTTCTGTTTGAAAATTGTGAATAATGAACAGAGTCAAATTGACATCATCAAATATTGCTATCAGCGTCGTCGTCATTAATTGTCGTATTGTGATTATCTATCAAGTATTAATAATATGACCTCTTCAGGATCAAGAATTTTTTCGTGACAGTGCCATATCATGGCGAAAATTTGGACGATTTCAAAGAGAAACTCCGTATGTTAAAAGCTTGGCGTGCGATCGCTGATAACTACTCAGTAAGTTTGCTGGTGCCAATTTTGACAATGTTTCGAAATTCTCGTTTAGAGAAAATTTCAAAGAGGAAAAGTACAAAGTATATTTCGTACTAATTGAAACTACAGACAGGAAAAAAGTATAAAGTAAAAGTACGAAAAAAAGGACGAAGTACATAACGAATAATAACAGATGATTAGATCATAGATTCAAGCCGGACGGATCACAGTACATTTGTCGAAAGGACAAAGTACATTTGTCGAAAGGATTTCATTCTGTCGAAATGTGCAATGATATGGTCTCTGAGAAGCGACTTCCCCATTACTCTGTAGAAGTGAAAAAGCAGCAAAACTTAGATTGACGAAATAAAAAAGAAAACCAAACGAGTTTATGGAAGTGCTCCTAAAAGAAATGGTAATCGTTCGCGCAAATCCATCAGTTTGCATTGCAGGATCTGTCTGCGTCTGTCTACGAAGATGATTCTCAGTTCACCGATCAAATTGAAACCCTCCTCCCTCGCACCCTTAAAAGTACTGCCTACTCGTTTGCGTGTATGTTTCTAGTGTGTGCCCTGTTTATGCCCGATATCCGTACTGTGTTTGCTGCATCCGTTTCTATTTTATCGATATTTGTCGGTGAGTGGTACTTTTCTTTTTTAAATCAAAAACTCGTTTGATCGCAACAAAACTGTTGTCCTCAGTTTGTTGTCCGTTATGAGAAAGAGAAATAAGTGAATGACAATCAGCGTTCTAATTGATCTGGTTCGAATTCATGTGATGAGAGTGTGCTGGATTGCCACAAAAAAACGAAATTAACATTACCTGTGAAAACATAATTCGAATTAGTATTCTGAAGTTCATTGAACGGAATGGGAAGGTTTTTGGTGCTATGAAATTTTTGTTGTGCAGTTAATAAATGCTATTTTCACCGTTGCGCATTTCAGGTGTCGCTGGATTCTTGAAGCTATGGAATATTGAATTGGATCCCATTTCAATGACAACAGTAATTTTGTCGATTGGCATGTCGGTTGACTATCCAGCACACATCACATACCACTTTTATCACGCCTCACAAAAACACCCCTCCGAACCAGGATACGCTCTGATGGCGAGAGCACTCTCTGTCATCGCATATCCATTGCTGCAATGTTGCATATCCAATTTGCTCATCGTTTTCTGTTTAGTTCTGGCGGGCACATACGTTACTGAGGTCTGTAACCGCTCATTCAGTATTCATTCACTCATCATTCAATCATTCCATATCAAAAGATGATGCACTTTCGTAATAACATACCGAGCAGGTCAAAAGACTAGAGAATTGCAAACTTGTATTAAATTTATGATTGTTAGTTCACTTTGCCATGACCGCAGTAACCAGTTCTGCAGTCATTGCAAACCGCAGCTGAATTTTTTGCGGAATTTGTTTTTCGGAGTTTCTATTTTTGAATCAAACACCCGTTTGATGGAAACAAAACAAGTGCAATCGCTAATGTCCTCAGTTTGTTGTTTGTTATGAGAAAGAAGAACTTGGACAAGTGGATGGCAGTTCACGAATTTTGTTGAGAATCGGACAGTTCTGAGCATCGTTGATTTGTCAGCTTTTCAATCAGTTTCTTTACTAGCATCTACCAAACAAATGCATCAATAAATGCTTCATTTTTTACCATTACTTATTTAGCAGCGATAAAAATTGGAAGAAATGAAATCAGAATGATAGTATCTCATGTTTTCAGGTAATCGTGAAAACCGTTTCGTTGGTGGTATTGTTCGGATCGATACACGCGCTCGTAGTCATTCCTGCATTCCTCTCTGCTTTTTCATATGATCGTTCGAGACGAGTCGTGAAGCCGATTGAACCTTCATCCACTCTATCGGCAAAGCAATAATCAATATCTCATTTTTGGGTCATTCTCTCTTGATCATGATAATTCATTCATTGAATTTCATACTCACTACGCCAGTCATTCTATTACCGAAGTCATTTATGATGACATGCGAATTTTTTACTTTTTAGAATAATTGTTTGCTTCATCTGACTGAAGGCTCTTAGTTTCTTATCTGTACATTCGCATGCTTTGGATTTTCCAGCCTCTGTATGAAATTGCTGAGGATGTTAACTATAATGAACCTCTTACCAATCTTCGATGAGTCGCTTTGGAATTGTTTTCATTCGAAATATACTAATCCCTCTGGCCCAAATGGAAGAAATTTATCGCTTCTGCCGAATTTCCAAAATCAGTCCACAAAAATTGAGTCTCATTCAGAAAGTTTGATTTCTTAAAGTCTTTCATATTAGTATATGTGGTACCCGCCTTGATCGATCATCTGCTCCATGTATTTTATTAGCATCGGAATTCTTCGAGTATCTCGAAAGGTAGTTGCCGTCCAATTTTATGTAATCGAATGAAGTTTTGCATTCACAAATAAGGAAACAAGCAAAATAAAGCAATCAAGATAAATAAATGCCTAAGAACTTTTAAAATACATTAAGTACCCTTTATGATGGATCTCAAGTAGATCAGAAAAGCTTGGCGAGTAACTGAAGACTACATGCCCAAATGCTGCTGTCTAACTTAAATCATACTTTTGACTCTTCGATTGTTTAGGTTCTCTTATTGTCCTTGCGATTCAATTGTACATTCTTATGAATAACTTAGGTGTTGGTCCTACAAAAATGTATCCTAGTTCCAACTAATCGTGTTTGTAAATTCTCAAATGTATCCATCTTCGAAACAAATCACTTCGCCAATTTTCTCACGCAACTGTTTTTTTTTTTTTTCAAGGCAACATTCAGAAATATGAACATTTTATTGGCATTAAATACGATGAAAAATGAAAGCAAATGAGCGTTTCTAATGCATCGAAAGGTAACATCACCTGATAGCACACATGAAATATGAATTCTTGAAATAAATTAAACACTGAATGCAATAACAATTCACAATGGATTACGAATTCGACTATGCGAGTCAACTATTGAACAATTGATGGAGGTGATTCTCTTGAGCATTGCTGAAGAGGTGAAGTTCAAAAGAACCTAAGTCATGAGTAAAACATCCCGACAGTAATAGGTACGAAGAACTGACAGCATTTCCTGGAACATTTGCCTTACCTCATGCCTACACTCAGCACATGTCAATGAGTTTAAATAAATTGGACAAACGATGCAGCCACATTATGCTGAACAACTGCTTGCGGTTACACTGCAACCGCTACGGATTAAGTGGAGACTACTCATCAATTATTGCAGAAAGCAGTCAGTTTTTATTCATCGGATTGTCCTCGATACGTTAGCAATTCTTCATCGATATGTTTTGAAACTGTCGTTAGGTACACATCTTATCATGCACATCCAGCGATTCTTCTCAGCGTCGAATTCACATCTATTGATGGCTGATTAGAGTGTGCGAAGAAATCGTTTTGAACATCAGTCAAAAAGAATTCGAAAATGAACACTTGAATTGTTCTTTAAATCTGTTACAACATGAAATGTTCCACTAAATCATCGAATCTGTGATTCATTCGCACTAAATTTGATATCAATGTCGTCAAGAACACGTCATTATTGTCGAGAATGCTGAGATTCAATAGTCGATATGTGTGAATGGAGTGGTTAACATATGCATTCGATCAGAAAAACTTCTTGGGGTGACATCAAACTGTTTCGGATAGCTCCAAATGTTTAAAAAAGCTGCACATTCAATTCACAACTTTTCAGCAGTGCTCCGTAGTTGGTTTAGGAAAATGGTTTTCATAGGGGGTAAATTATCCTTTTAGGGAAATTTGGAGGTGTCAAGGGGCAATAGAGAGGTGCGAGAAATTAGTATTTCGTGCAGTTGTTACGTTATGATAGAACGCCACTGTGAAGGTGTTATTTTAACTCAGATATGTAAATGAGATTAGTTAATGGCAACATTCTTCATTTTTGAGTATCATTGGCTCGTTTTAACGGGATTTTCATTCTTTTCCGAGGTGTTATAATCGCTCTCATACCTTTTATCACCAAAATTGTTCACTTCTGCTAATTTCTCATTCATTTCACTCAACAGTTTAATTCAAATTCTTATTCTATTAGATACACTTTATAATTGATCAGTTGACTGTCGAACGTTGTTGAGCTGTGATATTCGATTGTTGTATTGTTGATTTCGGTTGTCAACACTCGTCAACATATTCAGTAAATAGTATATGCTAGTGAATGAGAAATTGATTCGAACTGTGAAGTGAAATGAGACGAAATGAATGAGAAAAACTCATGAAGAAAACGGTATTCACATGAAATAGTTATGAGAGTGAATACAACACGTCTGAAAAGAATGAGAATCGTGTAATAGACAATAGCTTTTCATGCAATCATAATCGACCGCAGTAATGATCAACACAACGATCTCGGACACTAATTTCTTTTACACCGCTGAGAGATTTCCATACATAAAAATAGTAAGTTCTTGTATCGATGAGGTAACGGTGGTCTGCTAGATCATCAAAAGGGGTAATGAAACGCCCGAAGGTGAGAACCACTGGTTTAGAAAGATTAAAATCAAAAGATTGAACTAGTTTTATGAAATGGTGAATTACCTCGATACTGCGACAGTATTCATTGGATCAAGTGGACAACGGTAGTCGTTCGGACATTCGCATGTTTTCGTTGACGAGATTAAAGCCAGGTGCTTATCGATGATAACCTGCAATTTCATTGCCCCACAAAAAACTTGAACTACTTTCATTTTGTTGAACCAACTCGGGACTGGTTTTTGCCGTTTTGCCTGTGAATGGCGCGTTTCAACCATTTGAATGCATTGTTCTCAAGAATGTATCATCAGAGTGAAAAAGCTCGCAAACAACAATCGAATTCCCTCGAAATTGCGGCAATACTCTGAAAAATCGCTTCGCGAAGCTTACCTTCTGACAGAAACTTGTTTCATCGAATACGTTGCAAGTTCTCCCATTGGACGGATTAAAATTCGATCGCATATTCACAGCCGTCATACCGAAAACCTGAACGACAACAAAACTATCGAAAGAACGCAATCATTAGCAGTGAACATGTGATAGAATGTAATGTTTTTGTTTATTGATAAGCACTTATAAGACTGAAAACAGTCGAGAGCAGTTGAATATCAAGTTTAGTGAATTCAATGTTTATGAACTAGGTTTGATGACACCATAATGCTGAAAGCTAACGCAGATCGGCATTGTGAACAAGACGAAGATGATAGCGTGTAAGCCTCGATAAGACTGCATCACCGTCGATATCCTTGAAGGGTTCGCAACTGCGTTTCTGAGCACACAACTGCACACAGAGCTCAATTGGAAAGCAGGAAAGCTTGCCTGTTGTCGATTGCTGTTTGAAAGTCACGAATTTTGGTCGGGTCGCTGTTTGACTCTCTATTTTATTTGATTAACACCTCTGAAGTGAACGATAAAGAAAGGCGAAGTGGAATGAAACATTTACGGATGCTCTTCTCAACACGATACGACGCAAATTGCAACAAGGTATTGAACGCTGCTTCTGTAATCTTGCATACGAAACCGGCTGGACTCTACGCAATCCAGTAATCGTTTAGCCCAAGGCATTTAGACGTTATGATGTAACAACCGGCTGCGATCACCTTGAAACTCTTTACATCTCATCCATTCCCGTCTGAGAATCCCGTTTTCCCGTCATTCACACTTTAAAAAATTTTTTGTTGATTGTCTAAAAGAGACTATCAGAACAGACATGCTGATTATTCTTAAGTGAACAAGGAATTTCACCATGTTTCGGTAAGCTAAAACAACCAAATTTCTAAACTTCAAAGAACCATATTTTTGTTGTGAGGCACATTAAGGTATTGTGATCTGTGTCTATATTTCAGTTGTTGCCCTTGCTATAAATTGCTTCATTCGATTTGTTTTTAATCTGTTTCGCTATGAATCATCCAATGCAGCCTCTCGAATGACATCTCGAGAGTCTGAAACAGTGTTTTTGATTCCAGTTTGAAGCGATATAACTGGTTCTGTGATATTCTCTCTCGGTAACGAATTTTATCGCAATAATCGAATAGGACTCCTCGGTGAAAGTCTGCCATCAAATTAATCATTGCATTATTTCAATATCACTGTCGACTTCTTCGAAGCGCACAAAATCAATTACTCCCGGAATCTATCGAAATCGAGATTAATTACTCGCAGAACCATTAGTTTCGATGGTTTGAACTCATTAGCAGTAGGCTCCAGCAATTGAACGATGCCTAAAAGTTCACGATCTGCTCTCATTACCCCTCCTCAGCTAGCATGTTACGCTTGACTTGATAATTTTCCACTGATTCAAGAATTTATCGCAATTGCGAGTGTTCTAATCCGAGTACATGCATTCCATGCATGCAGATGTGCTGTAAGTGTATGATAGTATAAGATAATATAAGAGATTAATTTGAATAGCAATCGCGTCATATGTTTTATTGAAAATGAATGGATGCGTTTGGCTTTGGGCTGATTAGATGCATGATTGACAATAAAAATAGCATTTTTAATTAGTAAACATTTGCTTATCGTCATAAGTTATTTGACTGTTGACGACAAACCAACAAAATGGCCTCAAATCGCATGAATTTTTGATTAAATTGTGGCGCTTTTCAATTCCCATTAAGGAGTTACGACAATTCCAACAGCAATGGCAGTTTGAAGTAGAATTTCGCATTTCACGAATGTGCTAGATGATTAAATTTTCACGTTTACACATCACCAGTCACGCACATATTCAAGTAGGTGGATAGCCGAGAGGCACATAGAAACGAACACACAGCCAGTGGCTTCATTGCAACTTCTCGACGTTACCATGCCTAGTTCACCTCAGGTGGCCATTTGCACACTCTTCATCCTCTCCGCATTGTTTGTGTTTGCAGTTGAGGTAAGTAACTTCAAGTCATCATCAGCATTATTCCTTATATTTCGAAGCGTTAATTTCTTGACTGAATATCTTCTATGACCTAAATCATTTCTCGACTTCGAACATGCTTTCGAGAATACTGATGGCTTTCACTTATGGGGATTATGAGAATCACTCTAATTCCAGGGGAAACGCCGCCTTCAAAAAGTTTTTTAGATTCTTGTTTTGCTTTTCAATTTTAGATGTTTTCGTTCCGAATTGAATCATCGATCATGAATGTTTTGAATTTTGGGATAGGGAAATGCTTTTAAATTTGAATTTACTTAGAAATGTGTTCATTAAAGAGAACAGAAGCAATCATGAGTTGATTTTTCAGAGAATAGGTTTAGTTCCATTCCACTAAGTGATTTGTTGTTGCATTCAACAAAATACCAATGCAAAAATCTCAGAAGCTTCTGGCAACTGCAAATCCTAACTGCGAAGTGGGAGAATATTGAATAAAGAGTACACGGCTCTTCAGAATAACTAAACACAAATGAGCATATTGCTCAGGGGCTAAGGCTGCAATGTCTTGTCTTGTTCCTCTCCTCCCTGCACAGCGGACCGTTTCATTTTCGAACAACAACGATGCTAAAGTTTCCTGAAGCCCGCACTTGGTATAAAAAACTGAAGTCCGATCACTACAGTATAGTGCATTATACAGACCATATTTTCTATTCGAGTTTAATGCAAAGCATTCGTGGTGAAACATTTTGGTATATCAAGCATGTAGCATTATCAGTGAACAGTTTGAGAGTTCTGATGGATCGATTTTTCAGTCGAAGCCATCCGATTTATTCGTGCGATCACCGAAATGGACACACTTAGTACCGGCTGGTGGTTCGTTGGTATCGGGTCGAGGTAACTTCCGTCCAGGGTTCGTGTCTCGAGCAGCCGATACAAGGATGTTCCTTTCGGAACCGTTGCTTACTCTCAAGGTTGGCCTCCGAATGTCCTTCTTGAAAAGAATTCAGAACTAATGATAAGCTTTTTAAATCATGCGATTTCGCTAGAATTTCCATCACGAACACTGCAAAATGAGCAGGCTAACTGTAACTATTCCAATAGCATATTTTCAGAGGTCCAGACCGGTCTACGACACGATGAATTCTTAGGAATGTTGCAATTTGCTTGCGATTTCTGTTATTATTTCTTGGCATGTCAAGCATTCTGCTTCAATCATATTATTAATTCGTAATTGTCACAAAATATAAAGCAATTGCTTCGTTAAATATGGCTTTCGTTTTCTTAATTCCACACCCATAACAATTTGTTAAATTCTTTCAGCCAAGTAAAACCAACAAACTATTATTACTGTTTGGCACGCATCGCAGTCACAAACTGAACTCATTCATCCACTTTACATATGTCTCGTAACCAAACTAATTTCCGATCAAGATACGATGGTACACACATGACACTGGGCAAACATGCACAAAAACGATACTTAATTTTGGTTTGGCATTGAAATTTTGATATTTTGGCATTGGAATTTTGAAATGGTTTCAGTTTTTTAAGTCTTAAATGGATTATATTTCACGCTGGATGAGTCCAACCAACATTATGGTCCTGGACAGATTGAAAAATGAGCGCTATCCTTACATCGCGTAGCAAGTTGAACAATGTGTTGGCCAGACAATCTGTTAGCTATCCAGTGATGTTTTGTTTAGACAATAATGGTGAGTGAGAGTATTCGAGATCAATTTTATCATCAAAAATATCAGAATACTTCGAAAATCAGTAACGAAAACGAATTTCCTTGACCTAATGCAAACTCATCAGAACTTCCTTGTATGACCGTTATGGGTTGCTGAATGAATTAATTCACAGTGCAATTCCACACCTGCAATTCATTTTCCAAATAACAACAATGTATTGCGTGCAAATTAGAGTATTACGGCACTTCACGAATTACATCGCAGTTCAAACATGTACGCATGAGTTGAGCTGAAATGCTTGGAACGAAGATCACTTCGAACACTATCTGATGCTACCTGAAGAAGAATATTTTACTTTGTCGTTGAATCGACCGAATCAATTGGATATATCGATTCTAAACCGATCAGTTCATGATTTCAACTTACAATAATGCGGAATACTGATCTCAGATCATTGAGCAAAAAAATTTGGCCCGAAAGTTAGTTGCTTCAGCGACTGGATCTCTGCCTTGCTTCAACTCTATCATGAATGCACTTTGAAAATTAAATCCAAAAAATTTTCAACTTGAAAGGACAAAGCATGAGAATGCAATAAAACCAGTGTCATTTCTTGATCCATCCGTTTAGATGAACATTAAGAAACAACAAAACTTTTTTATCGTCTCAAATATGTTTTCTGTGGTCGTGAAATCATTTACAACAAAGTCAATAATAATAATAACTCTTGATTATATCGTATTATGGATTATCATGGTTGACTGGTGTTTATTAAGTCACGTTGACTGATTCTAGTAATTCCAATGATTGTTGTTTGAGCACATCACCAATAGCATGAACATCGGCAAAAGTCCAAACATAATGCGTATGCAGAGTGATCGAATAGGAATGAGTGAATTGCAGCGGTTGTACACCGCATTCGATCGCTTAATTCCGCAACAAAATTACTTCGTTCATAAAAAAGCGCTCACTTGTTTCCATTATTACTCCCATCTAATTGTAAGTTTACTCAATCATCTAACAATAAGTAAAATCAAATGGTAAAAACAAATGAAGGGGCAAGAATGCAAACGAATGATAAAATACCGAAAAATCAAAAGAATGTAAAAACTGAAGGATGTGCAAAGAATAAACCGAATTGATAATGATAAACTGCATGAATCGGAGCAATGATATCAGTTTTGATATATTTCGTTAGTGTACTTCCTTGACAATAACCTCTGTAATACCACTCTTTTTGAATTATCTTTCATCACGGAAGTCAGTGCAAAATTTCAATCTGAGTTGTGCTCTAGGGTTTGCACGGGATCCCGGGATTACAGTTCTGATCCCGATCCCGGGATTAAAGTTTTGATAAATCCCAGGATTTGGAGATTTGATAAAACAGGTCAATTTGCGTGAATTTTGATAGTATGCTCATCTTGAAGTAAGTCTCATTCACATCTCATCCATATGCAGTCATTCTTGCTGTTTGCCCTTTATCATTGATGTTCAGGTAAGGAAATAGACGCAATTCGGACGAATGACATGATCAACGACAGCTCGATGAAGTTTTACGTAACATTTCATTGAATATTCAACTGATTATTCTGCTCTTCATTGGTTTATATCACGCTCATCCGGATGCATTTCTATGTAATAGACTAACAGAGATAATCACATTTTTTAATAAAACCAAGATGAACAAAGCTCAATGAAATTTTGAGTCCTTTCCTCCCACAAGATTTGTTCGGCTTCAATATTCAACTGCATGTTCCAAAGACTGCGAGTCTTTTTACTTCGCTATTTGGAAACGTTTTCATCCGATCGAAATGTACGTAAATTCTCATTGAGTTCACTCACAGTGAGAGTTCATTGCCGAAGTGAGCAAAGTTGTTCCATTCAAAAGGATCTTAAGCTTGAATATCAAATACACTTGTATGATTTTTGATCGAAATTATCAAATAAGTAAGTGCTCGATGGTTCGATGAAAATCCATTGCGGATATTTCTTTTCCTTTTTAGATAAACTTCGAACTTTTAATTATTTCAAAATTCAAATGATATAATTCATGCGGTGCAATTCTTCCGTAAAAAATCGAAATTTCCGAAACGGCAGAATTTAGCTGACGTTAATACTGCGAGAAAATGGACTTGAAGCATTGCAAATAACTTCAAATAAATAAATTGCAAAGAATTTCATATTCACATGCAAGTGTACTGTTATTAGCTTAGACCCGAGAAGACAAGATACAGTACGCCCTCGCGGCATGATCATTGGCATCATTATATGAAATATTAATTTGAATGCTTTGTTCCTTGAATTTGTTCAATAATTTGTTAAATTAGCTCCTTTCTGATTAATAATGAACATATTGGTTCGAAAAAAAGTGTTTAAACATGTCCCGCATCGATATTTCAATAATTGTTCGATCTCGGGATTAAATCCCGGTCCCGGGACTGAAAAATCGTCGGGATTTTGCAAATCCTTGTTACACTCTAATAGCTGAACACGCGCCTAATCCAATTTCATGACTTACCTTAGGTAAACTGTCAATAAATTTATATTTTACTTGGAATTTCCATTTTTCGAATGCTTCAAATTCTCAGAGTGTTGCTTTATTTGAGAGTTGCATAATACGCAGCTGGAATAATATCCGTTAAATGAGTACCCAGTCATTTCGTAATTGTTTAGCTAAATTGTTTATCACTATGGTAACCTACTTGGTTAATATGTACCGCATTCTTGAGTAGCTCCACGTAGTGTCTTAAGAAGTTTATTTCTTCATGAACTGCATGTTGGCAACTGCTGCATGCAATTCGCAGTGAGCATGGTTGTAAACAACTTGTTCACACTCCGCATCATTCGCAACAATTTTTGACTCAGTTTTTTCATCACTACCATGATCATTTCTCGCAAGATCTCATTGCAGCAATATCGTATTGTCATTTCAACTGTTAAGTATGTTGCTCGTACTCAAACAATGTGCTTTCCTTTACTTCTGCCAAAATCAACTCCTAATTTCTGAACAAATAGATAAGCATTATTAGGTGGGAGTTGATAAGATGAGATTGCACGTGTCGCGACTAGCGCGAAAAGCCAGCATACAAAGAAGATAGTACTTAAATCAAACAGAAATGGTTGAGCAATGGGCCGATAGTAGGGTTTGTACGGGATCCCGGGATTACAGCTCTGATCCCGATCCCGGAATTTAAGTTTTAAAAATCTCGGGATTTTGGGATTTGATAAAACAGGTCAATTTGTATGAATTTTGATAATATGCACATCCTGAAGCAAGTCTTAATCATTCCCATCTAATTCATATGCAGTTATCTTTGCTGTTTGCCCTCTATCATTGATGTTCAGGTAAGAAAAATAGACGCAATTCGGACGAATGACATGATCAACGACAGCTCGATGAACTTTTACGTAACATTTCATTGAATATTCAACTGATTATTCTGCTCTTCACTGGTTTGTATCACCCTCATCTGAATGCATTTTTCTGTAATAGACTAACAGAGATAATCACATTTTCTAATAAAAACCAAGAGCAACAAAGTTCAATGAAATTTTGAGTCGTTTCCTCCCACAAGATTTGTTCGGCTTCAATATTCCATCTGTTAATTCAACTGCATGTTCCAAAGACTGCGAGTCTTTTTACTTCGCTATTTGGAAACGCTTTCATTCGATCAAATGTGCGTAAATTCTCATTGAGTTCACTCATAGTGAGAATTCATTGCCGAAGTGAGCAAAGTTGTTCCATTCAAAAGGATCTTAAGCTTCAATATCAAGCAGATTTGCATAATTTTTGATCGAAATTATCAAATATGTAAGTGCTCGATGGTTCGATGAAAATCCATTGCGGATATTTTTTTTACCATTTTAGATAAACTTCGAACTTTTAATTATTTCAAAACTCGAATGATATAATTCATGCGATGCATTTATTTGGAATAAATCGAAATTTCCGAAATGGCAGAATTCAGTTGATGTTAATGCTGAGAGAAAATGGAGCTAAAGCATTGCAAATAAGTGTTTGAAAATCAAGAATTTCATATTCACATGCAAGTGTACTGCTATTAGCTTAGACCCGAGATGACAAGATGCCTTAGCATAGAATATGCAGTATGCCCTCGCGGCATGATCATCGGTATCATTATATGAAATATTAATTTGAATGCTTAGTTCCTTGGATTTGTTCAATAATTTGTTAAATTAGCTCCTTTCTGATTAATAATGAATATATTGGTTCGAAAAAATGTGTTTAAATATGTCCCGCATCGATATATCAATAATTGTTCGATTCCGGGATAATCCCGGGATCAAAAATCGATCCCGGGATTGAAAAATCGTCGGGATTTTGCAAACCCTAGCCGACAGTGAACTGGTGTAACGCTGGGGTTTGAGGATCCAATCTGTTCAGAAGGCGTGAGTTCGATTCCGCGTCGGTTTAAAATCTTTGACAAAGTTAGATCTCA